AGCTACTCGGGAGGCTGAGGCAGGAGAATGGCGTAAACCCAGGACGCGGAGCTTGCAGTGAGCCGAGAGCCGGTCACTGCACTCCAGCCTGGGCGACAGAGCGAGACTCCACCTCAAAAAAAAGAAGAAACACAAAAAACAAACGAAAAAAAAAACAGCTAGGTTTGGCTACAAAGGATTCACAGGGAATTGGAGACCGCCGTTGGAACAGAGTTTTCCCAAAAAGCAACAGGGCTTCTGCCTCCTGGGCTTAGCAGATGTGACCTTGGACAAGTTACTAAACCTTTCTGAGCTTCATTTTTCTCATCTGTAGAATGAGGCCTGTCTCCAGGTTATTGTGAAGATGTGTATATGAGATGCTTTATGAACCACAAAGCTGCATGTAGTTGTCAGCTTCCCTCTTCTGGCCTGTGAGCTGGAGACACACACACACATTCCTCCCCAAACGGTCTCAGCCCCCAGGCACCTACTGCAAGGACTCGGGAATCGTGCAGAGGTGCAAGGGAGTCATGCCCTCCTCGGTCAGCACATTAGCCTTTGCTCCGAAGGTCAGCAGCAGCCGCACACAGTCGAGCTGGGCCCGGGCACAGGCCTCGTGCAAGGCAGTTCGACCCCCGACGCGGGCATCCAGCTCAGCTCCCTGCCGGATCAGGTGGCGAGCACAGTCTGTGTAGCCTCGGGCTGTGGCGATGGCGAGGGGTGCCGTCTGCTTGGTCTTGGGGGTCAGCACCCAGAACCCTGGGAAGAGCAAATAGTTTTGGGGCGTGGTGCATAAGACAGGGCAGGGCAGGGAGTGGGGATGCTGGCTCCAGCCGACAGCTGACCCTGGCCTTCCCTCTGCATGGTCTGCTGAGGACAAACACTGTGCCAGGCTGTACCTGTGGAAAGGGGCTTATTCAAGTCCTGAATTGGAAGAATAAATTGGAACAGCCTTTTAGAACAGCTTATCAATCTGTAATAAAACATAGTATGTATCATAAAAAATTAATTGCTGTATAAAACCACAGGGGCCAACTAAGTAGAGTGACTCCCATTAAGGAAACCTCAGCGTCTTTGAATGGCTAATAGTGTCCAATGGCTTTTTTTGTTCACCTTGGGGCCTAGTGTGGTGGCTCACACCTGTAATCCTAGCACTTCGGGAGGCTGAGGTGGGATGATCACTTGACCTCAGGAGTTTGAGACCAGTCTGGGCAACATAGTGAGTCCTTGTCTCTATTTTTTAATTTTAATTTTAATTTTTTTGAGACAGGGTCTTGCTCTGTTGCCCAGGCTGGAATGTAGTGGTGCAATCTTGGCTCACTG